TTTCTGGGAAATCGAGGGCTGACTCATCCTATCGTTCTTATTCTTCTTATCCAGGCAGCAATGAACCATTCTTCTGAACATAAGATCCCCTTGGGTTTCCCATCTCTTGGTCTCGATCCCCTATGAATAAAGTTTTAAAATCAGGTCCTCCATATTTCCCTTTACCATAAATGACCTAATAAGACATTCAGCCGTCAAGGACTCCTCGTAGCTAGACTATTAAGTGAATGTTGTTTCTAATTTGCCAAACAAAGACCATCATTCAACTATTTATTGAATAATAACATAAACTCTCTATTTTTAAACATATAAATGATATTTCTGCCATGATGACCAGAATCCAGAAGGTACCAAACCTAAAGCAACTGCATAGGACATCACTGTTAATTATTGCTAATAAAATACTTTTCCCTGTCAGCAGAGATGCTGCTTGTAAATTAAAAAAAAAATTTTATAGAATTTATTGATTAATTTGAACCATATTTAATTTTGAATTGGAAACTAATGGCTTATCAGAGAGTTTTGGATCAAGGGAATAGTTCTCACCTTAAGACAAGGAAAACAAAAGAAAGAATTAATCTATTAATCAATTCAATAAAATACATCTAACGAAATAATCAACAAGGAGAAGGCTTGCTGCAAATAGACCCTGAAAAAATAAAAAATTACTAATGAATTCTGATGAATTTCAGAAATATCAAAATGATTAATTTTGAAAAAAAAATCATGTTTCTATAATCATGTTCGCACCTCTTAGTATGAATATTAGGCATTTCAAATTTAAAATCATAATCTTTTCTCTCATCAATTCAATTACTTTAATACAAAGAAGAGATTTCAAATGTTGAATAACTTCTTTATTATTAATCCAAAAACAAATAAGATGATATTTTATGTTTGATTGCTTAAATAAGATATTTTTCATTAATCCTCTAATTTAAATTACAGCCTCTTTACTATGTAATGAGATATGCGTATGCTGTCTATCACCTAACAAAAGTTTCTATTCAAGTTATAAATTTCGAAAGCAACATTCATAATATTTTAAATTGTTTATTTCTTCTCCTAAATCTGTCTCATATTCAAGGTATCTTTATAATAGTCTTGTTCTTTATTTTTGAAGAAATGACAATCAAGATTTTCAGTAGCTAATATATAAAGAGCATGCATTTTTAATTATTCTATTTATATTGATATCTATTTTCATTATTATTCCATCAGTGATTATTGTCTTATCTTCTGCATTTATCCTGTTGTATTTTTAAACGATAGTCCTCTTTCAAATGTTTCATCTTCCCTGATATGTCTTACAATAGGAGGAGTCAGTTGCTTCAAAACAAACTCTCCTTTTTTTAATTCTTTGAATTCATTGGTTGTTAAATCATATGAAAATCCGTATTCACAGTTACAATGAAGTGGTTTTTGTGAATATGCTTCTATCCAAACTTTATCATAATACAATTATTCCTCTATTTCTGTCACTGGTTGACATTCTTGTCCTTCGCATTGGCATAATTTTATTCCATTCGTAAACGAAAATTTATTCTGTGCAAATAGTTTGTAGAAATAATCAAAATTAAACCTAATTTATTTTTTACATTTAAAGTTTATTAACGGGTCTTTAATAAAGAGATCTTTGTAATTATGACATTTAACTGATTCGTACTATATTTTAATATTTTCTCTATTTGCTTCATCACTTAATGTATAAATTGTAATCAATACCTTAAAAAATCTTCTAGAGTATATTTCCACAAATTTTTGAAATTTTCAAGCAAGTATTCCTTTCCCTGATAATTGAACTAATTATTTGGCTCATCTCTTATTTTTTTTATGTTTATCTACATTTTTGAATATAGCTAAGCATCATAATAAATTAATTCATTATTAAATTAAATTTGAACTAGATTCTTTTTAAATTCAGTTTAACATAGTGGACATTTCAATTTCTCAGAATTTTATTTATTAACTTATGCCATTTTCTATTTATGTACAACGTATGCTACAAAAGTTCGAATATCCCAATTTAATAATGGAATCTTTTTTTCATTTTATGAAGACTAAGTCTCTAATTAGATTGGACAATTAAAACATCTTGCTGGATATTCAACCATATCACCAGACTAATCTTATAATTTCATTAAACAATTGGAATGCTTATATAGATTAATTTTATCTTTAACAGTTTTATGCAATTCTTAATTCATTATTGTCGCCATTTTCTCTAATACTATTCTCTAAAATTCTGGGTAAGTAAATAATGAATCTAATTCTGGTTAATTCTCTTTTTTCATCCAATATGCTCTAATAAATGTATCTTTATTATTGTTGCTATTTACTATAAAATCTGTTAAAGTAACTTGATTTCTATCTTGCTTGCTTACTATATAAAGCTGATTTCCAGGATAAGACTTTTTAATTGTTTATAAAAATTAGAAATCTACAACTAGACAATCTAAGAGCTACTAATCAGAAATTAAGGGGAACATAGATTTACAATCTGTTTTAATACAACGCAGGTATTAATTGGACTCTCTTTCCTGCAATTATTTATTTTTTAAGTCCTTAAAATTTTCAATTTGATAACAAATCAAACTAGTTAATTCATAGGCTTCAATATGTTTACAATCCTTATGTCTTACTGGGATAGTTATATTTACATTATCAAGTAAACATAAGGATTAGAATTAAAATTAATTATTTAATTGAAATCTTTAATCATTTAAGGCCAGATTAAGAATGCTTGAAGCATTTTGATATTGATCTTCTTTATTGTATGTTAATAATTGTTTTATTTATTTTTCAATTTTACTTGAAGTTAAAGGGTCACCGAATCTTTTTTTATTTCGTTTAATATGACTTAATAGGATTCCATGTAAGACAGAAATTCTATCTGTTAAAGGATGGAATTCTTAAATAATTCTTTTATTAAGATCATGTGGTGTGAAATCAGAAACTTCTTCATAAACAATTGGACAATGAGGGCACTTGTAATTTCTACTCTATGAGTTAAATCCATCTACAACATCTTAAAGATCGATTAATTTATCAACACTAAAATGAGTGCACTGTTTTCCAAAAACCTATTTTAAAACATAAAGTACAGGATAGTCATATTTTTTACCAGTGTTTACATTTATCAGTCGAAAATCCAGATTAGTCAAATTGCTAGAATCATTAACTGAGTTGTTCTTTTCAACTATTCGAATGGCATGATGCAGCAACATTAAGAATTAATTAAAATAATTTATGAATCTTTGAAAACTCATTGTTTATCAAAAACTCAATATCAGAAAAATCAATTTATTTCTCTTTCTTTTCTTTTTCTCTTACTAAATTAAACTGTTCCACATTTCATTAAGTAGTGGTTTTAATATTGAAAAATTTATTTTAATAAAGTCACTTTATACATGTTCAAAACTCCAACCAAGTCCGATAATTAAGATAATTAATATTTTTATCCTGAATACTGGATTAAGAAGCAATCTTTCTTATCAGCGGAATCTCTAAATTTTTGTAGTAATAAACGATCACGTATAATTAGAAATTTATTTAATCAATTTGATCTATTTTATCTTTGTTTTTCTATAACTTACTTAGCTAAAGGAAAGAGAATATGTTTATCAAAAAAGAATTATAAATACAGGAGATCATACTTTTAAGTATCCGTAATCTTACATAAACTCCTTTATCATTAAGCATTTTCAGTTATTTCTTAAGAAATCCTTTCAATTATAGCAACGATTGGTAACCTTGAATTTTATTGATTATAATGAAATTAATATAAGTTCTAAATTCAAATACAATGAAATATTCTTTGAAATTATAATTCGATTTAAAATCAAAGATATTGGGTTGTGTCCAGTTTGGTAATGAATGCCAAAATCATATTATATTGCTGAAATTTTCATATTTTATACAAATTAAATTTGAATGCTATTTAATTCAAAACTAATTTTTGAAAATCATTATTGAATACTTTGTTAATAAGTTATTCTTAATAAGAGTGGACAGAATTGCTAAAGGGTAATATCAAAAAATGCTACTTTACAATAATTGTTATATATTGGAATAAAAATTTTTGTCTAGAAAAATAATCAATTTAAGCCAAAAAGGAACTTTTATTATAATAATTGATGAATTACTCAAATTTAAGTATTGATTTTTGGGTTGTAATGTAATTTTCCTAATTTAATGATACCTTTAGCAAGTAGAATTTAATAATTTTATTGTTGAACTTTCTTGAATAATTAATGCTTCAATAATATTAATCCAAATGACAGAAAAATCAAGTTAAAAGTTCTCAAAATTCGCAGGGAATCGATTAAGGATGGTTTATAAAGCTATCCCTCATGTTTCAAGTATGGAGAAGTAAGTATAAATTGAGAACTAAAGAACAGGGTATAATCCAAGCAAATAAAATGAAGATCTATTTAATGTAATTCAGATCAAATAAGTTATAGAATTATTAAATACTATTGCAGTAAATTGAAGATTTATTAGAAAAAAATTTTGAAAAATATAAAAACTCTATTATCTCGAATGCAGATAAATTGCTAAATGGATATGAGAAATTGAAATGGTTAATGAACATAGCATTTGAAAAACAATAATTAGAACTCTCAAAATGGTTTAATCAAGAAAGGAATAAAGAATAATAAAATAATTAAAAATTGGAAAATCAGTAGAAAAAAAATTTACAAGATATAAGTAAGAAACATGAAGAAGAGATTGCTTCTAAATTGGAAGAAATAAGGATATTGAACCAAACTATTAGAGAATAAGCCTAAAAGTAGTAGGAAATTATTCAATAAAAGGAGAATAGAATAAACAGGATGGAGGATGAGATAGGATGTCTAAAAGCAAATCAGGAAGCTCTGCAATAATAAATCTTAAAAAAGGATAATATTTTTTAGGAAGTAATAAAAGAGGCAAAAAATAAGAGTTTTGAGGTTTTAGAAAAATTAAATCTATAAAATGAATTGCCAAACATCAAAATTTAAGATGAGAAATTAAAACCAATCTTATAACAGGAAGAAGAGATACGACTACAAATTAAAATTTTAAGTGGAATGGTTGATGAAGTGTTAATAATGAAATTATAGAATTCTCAGGATGAGCAAAATTAAGAAAAAATAGAATAAATAGAGAAAAGATTTTTGAATTTAAAACAGTAGATTACAGCTGTCATTAAATTTTCAGAATCATGTATTTATAAATAAAAGTAAATATGGGGTTCAGCAAAATAATTTGACTCATTAAATTAATAAGTCAAACCTATATTATAATTCATGAATATTTTTTCTAAATTGTTTGAAAAAATGTATTAAACATTCTAGCAAATACTAGAGAGGATGGGTTAATATTTAAAAGAAAGCAAAGGTAATTAAATATAAAAGTATAATGGAAGCCTAAGTACTAATCTTTCTTCATTTATTTAACATATATACCCTCAGAAAGAAACTTAAAGATTTTACGCAGCAATAGAGACACAATCAAATGATACAAGTAACTTTTCATAGAATTTCTAGTTTCGAGGAAAGAAAGCCAATCGTAGACAGAATTTGATGACTCTTAGAGTTTGGATGAAAACTAATAAATTACTCCTCAGCAAAGTTCAAGTCCCAAGAAGAAGAATGGAAAAAAACCATGTTAAAAACAAACACAAAAATCAAATTTTAGTAAAAAAGGACGTATGTGATATAGTTTTAAATTAAAAAAAAACTGAAGAGATCAATTTTTTCTATTGATATATTATTAATATATATCCAATATATTTTCTCATAATTTTCAATTTGAATGGCAATAAAGAAAATTTTAATTTGGATTTTACTCTCTTAATGGATATTGTAACTATTCACTTAAATTTTATAAGTCTCTCCTTTTTATTAATTTCCTCAGATTATTTTCAGTTAACTATTTTAATTATCCATTCTTTGTTAAAATTTTGATTTCATTCTCATATCTCCTGACGGCAACTCACAATTTGGCAACTACCTTTTTATCATAGTAGAAACACATATTTTATTGAATTAATTTGACATCTCAGTTAATATGATAAATTCTAACACTGTTATATAATATTAATAATTAAAAAAAAGGAAGAACCAATTAATTAAAGTTATTTAATTGATTAATCAGGCGCAGAGCATGACAGCGATTTTTATAGCAAAGATTTAATGATGATTAAAGATCAAAAGAAACGAAATGTGTTTATAAACATAGGATTATCAAGTTTGTTTGTGTTTGATAATTAACAATAAAAATTTTAGGAAAAGTGCACTTAGCTTAGAAGTACACAAAAGAAGTCTATTATAATTGCAAGTGTTGAATTAGTGATAATTTACTTAACTATTAGAAAAAGTGAATTATAAATTATGTCTTTTGGAAATAACACACACTTTTACGAAATTAATTATTTATTGGTATCTCTTCAAATTAATTGAAAACTTAAACAAAGTGGTTGACACTATTAATGTAATTTTTATTAATGAGGATTAAGTGGCCAAAAGAATATATGTATTTGAAAACAGTGAGAATAAATTAGAAAGTTCTCTTGATTTCATTTAATAAATTACGAATGCGGCAATTAAATCTAAAGAAAATGTTTGTATTCCATGAAAGAGTTTTATGTTAAACCTTTAAAAATGTATTAATAAATACTTTGCAATGTCAAAATGATATATTTAATACATAAACCCTGTAATATAAAATGGATCAATCAAATTTGAACTTTGAATATTGACAAGAATGAATGACATTCCATTATTTCTTTATAAGTACTCAATTAGTTCTTACAATGATGGCGAAACTGTTATAATTTTAGAAACGAGAATATATTGTAGAGATTTAAGTTCAAATAAGACTTAACAACTTATAAATGAAATTCATGTGCCAGATATGATTCGATATAATAAGTCGTCTTCATATTATTTCAATATCTTATTAGAAAAGGTATTTTCTATTAATTCCTATAACTTTTAGGAAATGGATCGTCTGGTAAACATATTACGAGTTGAAGTGTTTTACTTAAACAAAGATTTTATGCAATATAACTATGAATAAAATCTTTGATTGTCTTTTTTACTTCTACATTAAAATATTATTGATCATTTTTAAATATCAATATCTAATGTATTAAACAAATGCAAATCATAATTCAAAGCTTTAGAAAAAATTCCCCCAATTTTAATATCTACATATTAATATTAATATGATGATTGATTGATTGCAATTAGAAAAACTGGTTTGATAATCTAATTTTTAAAATTTACTCATGAATCAATTAGCAAAATTCCAGTTCTATACAATTCGTTTCGAATTTCATTCATTATCCTACCAAATTTTATATAATATTTTAGGATTAATTTTTAATACAAAATTTAATAACTATTTAAGAGAATTTTATACATTATAAACTGAATGCAATTTATTAAAGTACAAATGTGGCAAATATCCACTCTTAATGTATATTTTAGTCTCATATTTTCTATAAAGATTTCCCTCTTATAAGCCCTATTTTGTTTTAATCTAAACTTGCGAATAACAATCCACTAGTTTCTAAATTCAGGATGCATTTAGATTGTACTGAAATACAAATAATATAATTTGAATTAACTGCTATTTTAGGGTTCCTAAAAGACAGCTTTCAATTATTATCCTTTTCATTTTTTAGTTAGGCATGTTAAATTATTTTATAATATCATAATCGTTTCTATTTCAATCATTTGAAAATATTATTGATCTCATCTCCTAATTGGGACAATTAATAATTTAAATTCCACTTTACTGTTTGAAAATAACGATAAACTTAAAATGGGTTAAAAATTTTATTGATAACTAATCAATTTAACATTTTAATATTTTGGATACACATTTTTAAATCCTTAATATTTTTTTCAATATTAAGGTTAATTTAATCATCAAACTTTATCTGCAAAACTTATTACCAACTTCAAAGTTACTTTATGGTATGATCTAAATGGTAATTCATTAGTTGTAAAGTTTGATCTACTTAAATTTAAAATGCTCTATTTTGATAAATACAAATCAAGTATGATAATTAGATTGCAATCCTGAAGGTGAAAAGAATAGGTTATTTTATTTTAGGTTCATTTTATAGCGATGAATTCAATTAGTATAAGAAAAATGGAAGGTTATGCGTTTAACCTATATAAAATTAATTAGGTTATTTAACTTTCATTTAATATCATCTTCACTTATGAGGTTTGATTTTACCAATTAAATAGCGTAATTAGACTAGATATAAGATTTTTTAGGTCATCGAAATTTAAATTAAATTAGAATACCAATATGCCGAAAGATATTCTTGAGGCTTTCAATTTTAATACTTTCTAAATAATTCTCTTCCATATAGAGTTCAAATTAAGCCATACTCTGGTTAATCAAAAGAATTATGATACCATTGCTTCTTTGTTCTATTTTTGCTTCATTATAAGCTTTGTTTTGGAATTTTGAATGGAATAATTTTTATGTTTTTTAAGCTGCAAATAAAAGCCCTCATATTTTGGGATTAGAATCAAAATAAAGCCATATTTATTAGATTTAAATTCTATTGATATATTATTTAAAGGTTCTTCTGATTAAAACTCTTATCGATATAATATCAAAAACCTGAAAATTTTAATAGTAATAACCGATTAAGTCTAAATGTAACCATTATTTGATATTAAAATTTAGATATTTTGAATAGCAATACATTATTAATCTTATTCGAATGGATAGAAAATTATTGAATTAGATTTACTTCTCGTTTTATAAATAAGTAACCATATGCAATTTTTTAATAATTAATACAAGTTTGAATAAAATTATGTTAGTTATTAATAATTTTACACAATCCAAGTGATTCATTTGTAATTCCCTAAAACTTAAGATATTTTTTATAATGGCGATGTCAGAAATAATTTTTGACTTGCAGTAAAAATTACTCCTATTATAATAAAGCGATTCTGCTTTTCATAGAATAGAATAAAATACGTCAATAAAGCATACTTATAAGATATCTAATGAATCACCAATATCATTATTTTCTATTTGAAACATACAAGGTAATGGAATCTTCATTAAATTCAAATTATTTAAATTTAATCAGTTCACATGGTAATTTTAACAAAGTTTTTATATATTAGGAAATTTTGAGACTTTATATAAATATGATTATTTAATTCATTTGATTCTAGCCAATATAATATCATCATATTATAACTCGAGGCTTAGTATTACAGTTGTATTAATAAGTTATCAGAAAAAATAATGTTTCACATTTCTCATTCTTATTTTATTTAAATATTTTTATCATTTTGGATTAATAGAACAATCAATCAGAGATTAGGAATATTAACAGAAAAAATGAATTGAATATTCAATTCAATAAATAGTTTAATATTATCAAATAAATATAATTTTATAATAAATAATGTAAACTTATAAAACATAACTATAATTATATTATAAAATGTATGCAAATGGTTTTATAAACAGTATTTATTACAATATTCCTCATACATTTTCTATTCTACCATTAGAGAAACTTCTCCTTTTTTCAAAAATTAATGAAAATTATTGACTTTTAGATGTAATGTCCACAAGCAATTTAAAATTAAAATAAGGTTGTTTAAGCTCATTATTGATAATTTTGTTATTATAAGCTTCAACCTTATAATGAATATCCTACATACTAATTAAAAATAGAAATCTCAGTAAATGGAAGGATCCCAGAAACTTTATTCCAAGTTGTGACTCAGATTTTCAAACTTTCTAGAAAGCAACCAAGTTATGCAATATACTATTTGCGAGTCTTACATTGAGTATTATCATTTTCAGAATAAGAGTTTATTCCAAATAATGAATGTTGCAATATGTAATTATTATTATAAAAATATTGATTTTTCATTTTATTTATAATTCATAAGTGCTATATCTTTTAGTATTTTAATCCCAACATACTAAATATTGCCAATTATTTGTTACTTGACCATAGATGTCAAAAGTATGAAAATCTAATTAAGTAGCTATTCTGTATTTGCCATTATTTAAATATTCAAGTATATACACTATTGATTTCACCCTTAAAATTATTAAGTTCTTCTCTTTGTTATAAAGAATTGGGAATCGAAATTCGTCTGCTACCTTATTATTTGGAGTCAGTTCGACAGTATTTTCTAGATTTTCTTCAAACACTCCTTCTTTTAATTAGAACGCATATAAATAATCTGAAGTTTTGGAAGCAGTTGCCCAAATAAATTCTTCATTCGATATAAACATAATTTTATTCCCTTTCTCATAAATCGATTATTTAACAATGTATTTAAATTCAAAGATATTATTTACATTTTTTTCCCAAATTATAATTGAATTACTCTCATTTGCGCATGAAACCAACACTTATTCAGATGGGCTCAAACTTAATCCATTTACAGAATGAGTATGCTTATTCAATGAATATTAATAAATCAAGCAATTATTATTAAAATCAACATTCCAAACTTTAATTGAATTATCAAAACTTCCAGAAAATAACAAATCTTCATTCTCATTGAGTATCAGGCATTAAACATAATTGGTGTGCTAGTTATAAGGTTGTGAACTACTCCAATGTTGTTAGGTAAATGATTACCAGCATCTTATTGTTTTATCATCCGAAGAAGAAATAAATGAATTTTATCTTTTACTGTAAATTAAGCAGTTGATATAATTAGTATGTCCCTGCAGACAAGTCAGCAATTAAATTTTTCCCTTGTTAAATGCCCATACTTTGATAAGTGAATATTCTGTAGATATCATTATAGATCCTGAATTATTAAATGCCATTGTCTAAGATGGTTTCAATTATGTTGTANTTTCAAACTTTCTAGAAAGCAACCAAGTTATGCAATATACTATTTGCGAGTCTTACATTGAGTATTATCATTTTCAGAATAAGAGTTTATTCCAAATAATGAATGTTGCAATATGTAATTATTATTATAAAAATATTGATTTTTCATTTTATTTATAATTCATAAGTGCTATATCTTTTAGTATTTTAATCCCAACATACTAAATATTGCCAATTATTTGTTACTTGACCATAGATGTCAAAAGTATGAAAATCTAATTAAGTAGCTATTCTGTATTTGCCATTATTTAAATATTCAAGTATATACACTATTGATTTCACCCTTAAAATTATTAAGTTCTTCTCTTTGTTATAAAGAATTGGGAATCGAAATTCGTCTGCTACCTTATTATTTGGAGTCAGTTCGACAGTATTTTCTAGATTTTCTTCAAACACTCCTTCTTTTAATTAGAACGCATATAAATAATCTGAAGTTTTGGAAGCAGTTGCCCAAATAAATTCTTCATTCGATATAAACATAATTTTATTCCCTTTCTCATAAATCGATTATTTAACAATGTATTTAAATTCAAAGATATTATTTACATTTTTTTCCCAAATTATAATTGAATTACTCTCATTTGCGCATGAAACCAACACTTATTCAGATGGGCTCAAACTTAATCCATTTACAGAATGAGTATGCTTATTCAATGAATATTAATAAATCAAGCAATTATTATTAAAATCAACATTCCAAACTTTAATTGAATTATCAAAACTTCCAGAAAATAACAAATCTTCATTCTCATTGAGTATCAGGCATTAAACATAATTGGTGTGCTAGTTATAAGGTTGTGAACTACTCCAATGTTGTTAGGTAAATGATTACCAGCATCTTATTGTTTTATCATCCGAAGAAGAAATAAATGAATTTTATCTTTTACTGTAAATTAAGCAGTTGATATAATTAGTATGTCCCTGCAGACAAGTCAGCAATTAAATTTTTCCCTTGTTAAATGCCCATACTTTGATAAGTGAATATTCTGTAGATATCATTATAGATCCTGAATTATTAAATGCCATTGTCTAAGATGGTTTCAATTATGTTGTAGATTAATCTATTAAAGTTAGTTATACTTCTCTAATCTATTTAGTCTATTCTACTGTATTTTGTATTTATGATTATTATTATTACTATGTTTACTATTATTATTATTATTATTGCTATGATTATGCCTATGTTGAGGTTTATGCACATGATTATTCTTATGATTATGATTATACCTATGATTAGGATTATTCTTATGATTATTCTTATGATTATGATTATGCCAATGTTGAGGATTATGTACATGATTATAAATCTTATGATTTATAAGGCTATTCTATTATTTTTATATCTTCACTTTCGTTGTTATTTTAAATTAAATCAAATAGTATTTACTAACATCTATCAAATTCTTTAAATTCCTTGAATTTAACCATTAATGGTTAAGTTTTTGAATACCAATTATAATGTATTTTACTAATTTAAGAAGTATAAGTATTTTAATTAAAATCTAATTTACTATCATTTTTTATGTACTCATCCAATTCAGCATGAAAACTATATTCAATATACTATGGTTCCTTTTAATTTAGATCTTAAATCCATTTATTTACAAAATTATCTATTTAATTTAAAGATTTAATCACACATGATTTCAAGTCAGATATCCAAAACTATAATTATTCAACTTTTTTTCTATTAAATTCCAATGATTCTTCAATACTTTTTGCTTTATTCTTTTAAGTTTCTTCGATCAAGGATGCTATAATTGAAAATACTTATATTTTTTATTAATGATTTTGCTACATGAATTGTAAGCACTTACTACAATAGAATTTCTTATTTTTTGGCAAACTTAAATCAAGTGCAACAATAATTATAGGTTCATTATGGTTATAAGCGCAAACAAATTCTTCTTATTTTTCTAACATTTTTGTTTAGATCCTACTCATATTAAATATTTTAATTAATTGATTGAAAAATAAAGTTTGATTGTTTTGTTTTATAGTAAAAATTCTTTTATAATATAAATAAATTAATTAAAGTCTTCTTTCATGCCTGTTTCAAATCATTGCGCAATTAAAGAAAAAGGCTGTATTATAAATAATCTATATAACTTTATAAATATTTATTACATTTCAAAAAAATAAAGTAATTAGAATTTCATATATTGAATTAGACACTTACAACTTTTTGCATCATTTATAACTATTAACTTTTTATTTAATTATTGTAACTACATTACTATTAGTGATTAAATGATTTTATTTTAAGGATATAAATTTTAGTAGCTGAACTTCCTGTCTTTAGGTTGTCATCTTTAATAAATGTATTTAAGGATGTGTAAATAATTAAATTATAATGACTTCCATTTAAACAAAATTTGATTATTAAAGAAACTTGAAATATCATCAACACTTGACTTTTTTGAGAAGACCTCTTATTGTATGTGTGTACACAATGTTATTATTTTAAATGCTGTCTTTGATAAGTAAACCTGTTATAGAATGCTATCTATTTACATTCACAGATTAATGTCATTTAATAATAAGTTATTAGTTGAAGATTTGGATAAATTATCCTATTTTTGGTAATTAATGGTATAGGAAAATAAGAAAAATTTAGATTACATGTACCCCCATTATTTATATTAAGAAAGATGTGAGTAGTTTAATAATAAAATATAAAATATGAACCAAAATAATTGGATTACAAAGGCTATAATTTTAGTATATTAATTGACAATTTATCTACTAGAGAAATTATGGCAAAAAAAAGGGAAAAAATAAAAATATGCAAATTATCAATATTGTAGTAATCACTTCTAACAATTTTATTTTAAAACCATCAGAATTATATTTATTAATAACTAATGAAATGTTGATCTCTTTAAAATTAAAGATATGTAATCAATATAAAAATTATCCACAACAGATTAACATATACCTTCGTATTTAATATAGAATTAAGAAAAATATTTATCATTGGAAGGATTAGACAATTTTAAATTATTTTATTAAATTATTAAAAAGGATCAAAGTGTTTTTTGATATATAATGTTTCGGAGGGTGAACTATAAAACCGAGTTCAAAATTAATAATTCTGACTATTTATTTATTAAACTAAAGCAATTGGTATTTACTTTAAAATATTAGAAATACCGATAACATCATTCCTAAAATTAAATCATGTATTAATTTATAAATTCAAAGAAGATTTAATGTATACTCTGAAATTTATTAACAAAGTATAAATTGTAATTTAATAAAATTAACATCTGAATACTGCAGACAATTATATTTCGATAAAGCATATTAATTACTTATGAAGCGTTTGAAAGGTGAGATTATGGGAATGTTCAAGTAAAACAATTGTTTATCTTCATAATGTAATATTAGTCAATTATATAATACTAGATGAAAATTTAACTTAGATGACAAGAAATGTTAAAAATACTCTTAATATATACTCAAAGAAAGGAGAAAGATTTATTTGTTGCAATAATAGAATGGAAATCATTATACTTGATATATGTGATTTTAGAGTCAAGTAAATTTTCATTATTTATTATTATTATAAATTTTCAGAAATTATAATAAATGCAACAATTCTTATCTTATGAATGAGAGAGAAACAATCAAGATTAATCTTTTGATTGATCTAAATTTAATTAATATATTGAAAAAACCTAATTATATAAAATTTTCTTTTTTCATCTAAATTCTATTCTATAGATAGTTTTATAACAATATATGGTACATGTGATCAAAATTGGTGTAAATAATAATTTTGGCAATCATTATATATTTTATAATTACATTTAGGAAAGGATAATAATTTGATCCAAACATTCAAATTGTTTATTATCAAGGTGAGATTTAATTTATTTTTGCCCTTAACTTAAAATATTTATTATAAATGAATCTAATTTGTTAATCGATCCATAATTTCACTTTATACCCTTCTATTTCATCAATAGACTGAAGGTCTTTATCAAGAATTTCTTGACTATTTTCACAAACAAGACAAGTTTTTATTTTTTAAAAACACTTATTTATATGATAAAATCAATATTTCATACCATTTTAAATTGTAATTTTTTAAAAGACATTTATGAAGCCTTTGTTCAATAATAATGGAAAGGATAAATAAAGGGGAATGATATTCTAATTCTAGCTCATGCACATTTTCGTAAGGGAATTGTACAAAATTTGATATCTATATATGTAAGTATTATCCTAAAATATGAACTTAAAGCAATTGATTATCAGTAGTCTTATTATAAATTCCTAATTTAAGAATTTATCTCACCCTGAAATAAAATTAAAACAACACATAATTTTGTTTAGTCCTCTCTATTAATAATTTATCTCAAAGCTAATATACTGCTCCAAATGCTATAGATATTGAATACAATTTATTGGGTCTTAATTACATTATATTTACATATCCTTCTTTAATGATAGTTAGAAGTTTTGACAAAGAATATTTCGTATTTCATTAGATCAGGCGAATCGAAATTCCTGATTTCCAGCGACACTTCATTAGGATTACAGAAATTAGTTATCATTTTCTTTTGAATCTGTAATTTCAATTCGAACATTTTTCTCAAAATTAAATGCATTTCTTCTATCCTAATCTTATTAATAGTGCCAATATTTCATATGCGAGAACATTATGAGCATTCGTAATCGGATAATTCTAAATACTCACAAGCATTTTTATCAAAAACGTTATCAGATTCTTAATATTTTTTTAGTTATTTATAAGTTTTAACAATTAAAATTATATTGAATCCCCATACTCTATGCATATTTTAATCCTCTAAGTANATATAATACTAGATGAAAATTTAACTTAGATGACAAGAAATGTTAAAAATACTCTTAATATATACTCAAAGAAAGGAGAAAGATTTATTTGTTGCAATAATAGAATGGAAATCATTATACTTGATATATGTGATTTTAGAGTCAAGTAAATTTTCATTATTTATTATTATTATAAATTTTCAGAAATTATAATAAATGCAACAATTCTTATCTTATGAATGAGAGAGAAACAATCAAGATTAATCTTTTGATTGATCTAAATTTAATTAATATATTGAAAAAACCTAATTATATAAAATTTTCTTTTTTCATCTAAATTCTATTCTATAGATAGTTTTATAACAATATATGGTACATGTGATCAAAATTGGTGTAAATAATAATTTTGGCAATCATTATATATTTTATAATTACATTTAGGAAAGGATAATAATTTGATCCAAACATTCAAATTGTTTATTATCAAGGTGAGATTTAATTTATTTTTGCCCTTAACTTAAAATATTTATTATAAATGAATCTAATTTGTTAATCGATCCATAATTTCACTTTATACCCTTCTATTTCATCAATAGACTGAAGGTCTTTATCAAGAATTTCTTGACTATTTTCACAAACAAGACAAGTTTTTATTTTTTAAAAACACTTATTTATATGATAAAATCAATATTTCATACCATTTTAAATTGTAATTTTTTAAAAGACATTTATGAAGCCTTTGTTCAATAATAATGGAAAGGATAAATAAAGGGGAATGATATTCTAATTCTAGCTCATGCACATTTTCGTAAGGGAATTGTACAAAATTTGATATCTATATATGTAAGTATTATCCTAAAATATGAACTTAAAGCAATTGATTATCAGTAGTCTTATTATAAATTCCTAATTTAAGAATTTATCTCACCCTGAAATAAAATTAAAACAACACATAATTTTGTTTAGTCCTCTCTATTAATAATTTATCTCAAAGCTAATATACTGCTCCAAATGCTATAGATATTGAATACAATTTATTGGGTCTTAATTACATTATATTTACATATCCTTCTTTAATGATAGTTAGAAGTTTTGACAAAGAATATTTCGTATTTCATTAGATCAGGCGAATCGAAATTCCTGATTTCCAGCGACACTTCATTAGGATTACAGAAATTAGTTATCATTTTCTTTTGAATCTGTAATTTCAATTCGAACATTTTTCTCAAAATTAAATGCATTTCTTCTATCCTAATCTTATTAATAGTGCCAATATTTCATATGCGAGAACATTATGAGCATTCGTAATCGGATAATTCTAAATACTCACAAGCATTTTTATCAAAAACGTTATCAGATTCTTAATATTTTTTTAGTTATTTATAAGTTTTAACAATTAAAATTATATTGAATCCCCATACTCTATGCATATTTTAATCCTCTAAGTATTTAGTGTATTTTAATTTAATTAAGAGTTTTGTTTTTCGATTTCAAAATACAAAATTGAAGTGTTTTTTGATTATTCGTTTTAATTCTAATGAAATCAATATGAATCTTAACTCAAAACTTCAGAATATTTTAATTTCTTTTTAAATTTTTAAATAAATTCAATTATAGTTTAAGGTTTTAACATTAAATGAGATTGAAATTAAGAAAGAGATAATAATGTATTAATTTCCATTTATCCTTTTCTTTTGTTTTAAATAACACTCCTCAAAAGCAGATTTATTGATAATTAAATAAACAATGAAAAATTAAAATCTATTTATTTTAGTTTTATTATGTTTAGCTAGTTCATAAGAAGCATGGGAAATTATTTATAGCACCTTTCAAGATAAGGACTCCATGGATTCAGAAGGTTAGTTTTATATTAAGCTGTTAAGGGTGGATAGTAAAATATAATTAGACTGAAAATTTGGTTTCCAATTATGCTGGCTATACTTTATTTGGAGGGTATAATCAATTTGCAAATAAGACAATAGCATATAAGCACTTTTCTTTACCTCCTCATTATAAACTTAAAATTACTTTATAATTTTGGAAGTAATTATGATAATAATGGTAGAATTGATAGCTGGAATAATGAGTATCTTTATGTAATTGTAGACAATTATTTATGGTCAAAGAGTTATCATTATTCCGAAGGCACCCAGATATGCGGAAAAAGAAGTGATTTGCCAGATACAACTACACAAATTACAATGATTACAAATCATTACTCAAAATAATTACTATTTTTAATGACTTCCAATCTGGATGATAACGATGAAGTATGATGTTATTAAAAGTAAAGGAAAGTTGGGGATTCAGAGATTTTACTCTATCAATATTAAGATGTCCTTAAGGTTGTCTATATTGTTAAGATAATGATTATAATAATTGTTATTATTGGATTGATTTTTATCCTTGTGGTATCAATCAATAGAACTTGAAGGATGGATGAAAAATGATAATAACTAACCTGCATTTGCTTCATGTGCCGGTATTGATATTGTAGGAGGGAAGCTTAATTTAGCACCTAATGATAAATTAGCAAAAATTATAGAAAACTTGGCTCCTCATTATAGAATTTAAGTAAATGCATAATTTTGGAAAATGGAAAAATGAATAATTTTCATTAGAAGTAGATGATTAAATTAACAACACCGATTTGGGAACTTAAGGCATTTATTCTATTTGTGGATCAACAGAATTAGTTAATATATTTAATATAGGAGTTAATTTATCTCATTTTAGATCATAATGTTAAATAACTATGAGAACCAGTCTTAATACTGGAACCATAAATGCATTTTGGGGAATAAGAGCCTTTGATATATATCTTGCAAAATGTTTTACTGGTTGTGATCAATGTATTGGGCCTTTAAAATCAGATTGTAAGGTTTGTTCAAGTGGATGGGTTTTTTACAAAAATTTATGCACTCATCGTATTCATTAATCTTAATCATAGCTCCTCCTATGCTTTTTTCTTAAATCTCAATTACTTAAACGAAAGATTCTTAGTCAGATTAAAAGAATTCTATGAAAATCCACCTTTTAGAAGTTGATTATTCAATAATTACTTAAGGTGATTTTACACTTTTAATCCAAAATAATTAAAAAATATTGACAATTCAAGTTTATGTAAAATGCTTTCCAAACAAAACAATTAATAGTTAATTATAATTCAATTAAATATAAAATTCACATTAATATTAATTTTTAAAAAAATGTAGGTAGACTTTTAATAGTGTAATTTATAAAGTCTAGTATGACTTAAGGGCAATTTCGGAATAAAAGTTGATATTTANAAAATTAAAATCTATTTATTTTAGTTTTATTATGTTTAGCTAGTTCATAAGAAGCATGGGAAATTATTTATAGCACCTTTCAAGATAAGGACTCCATGGATTCAGAAGGTTAGTTTTATATTAAGCTGTTAAGGGTGGATAGTAAAATATAATTAGACTGAAAATTTGGTTTCCAATTATGCTGGCTATACTTTATTTGGAGGGTATAATCAATTTGCAAATAAGACAATAGCATATAAGCACTTTTCTTTACCTCCTCATTATAAACTTAAAATTACTTTATAATTTTGGAAGTAATTATGATAATAATGGTAGAATTGATAGCTGGAATAATGAGTATCTTTATGTAATTGTAGACAATTATTTATGGTCAAAGAGTTATCATTATTCCGAAGGCACCCAGATATGCGGAAAAAGAAGTGATTTGCCAGATACAACTACACAAATTACAATGATTACAAATCATTACTCAAAATAATTACTATTTTTAATGACTTCCAATCTGGATGATAACGATGAAGTATGATGTTATTAAAAGTAAAGGAAAGTTGGGGATTCAGAGATTTTACTCTATCAATATTAAGATGTCCTTAAGGTTGTCTATATTGTTAAGATAATGATTATAATAATTGTTATTATTGGATTGATTTTTATCCTTGTGGTATCAATCAATAGAACTTGAAGGATGGATGAAAAATGATAATAACTAACCTGCATTTGCTTCATGTGCCGGTATTGATATTGTAGGAGGGAAGCTTAATTTAGCACCTAATGATAAATTAGCAAAAATTATAGAAAACTTGGCTCCTCATTATAGAATTTAAGTAAATGCATAATTTTGGAAAATGGAAAAATGAATAATTTTCATTAGAAGTAGATGATTAAATTAACAACACCGATTTGGGAACTTAAGGCATTTATTCTATTTGTGGATCAACAGAATTAGTTAATATATTTAATATAGGAGTTAATTTATCTCATTTTAGATCATAATGTTAAATAACTATGAGAACCAGTCTTAATACTGGAACCATAAATGCATTTTGGGGAATAAGAGCCTTTGATATATATCTTGCAAAATGTTTTACTGGTTGTGATCAATGTATTGGGCCTTTAAAATCAGATTGTAAGGTTTGTTCAAGTGGATGGGTTTTTTACAAAAATTTATGCACTCATCGTATTCATTAATCTTAATCATAGCTCCTCCTATGCTTTTTTCTTAAATCTCAATTACTTAAACGAAAGATTCTTAGTCAGATTAAAAGAATTCTATGAAAATCCACCTTTTAGAAGTTGATTATTCAATAATTACTTAAGGTGATTTTACACTTTTAATCCAAAATAATTAAAAAATATTGACAATTCAAGTTTATGTAAAATGCTTTCCAAACAAAACAATTAATAGTTAATTATAATTCAATTAAATATAAAATTCACATTAATATTAATTTTTAAAAAAATGTAGGTAGACTTTTAATAGTGTAATTTATAAAGTCTAGTATGACTTAAGGGCAATTTCGGAATAAAAGTTGATATTTAGTACATCTGATACAAAATGTGTAATTTAGTAGGTAATTAAAGTTGCTGATGAATTAGAACTTATCAAAATATTAGAAATTTTATTAGATGATGTTTGAATATTCAACTTATGTATAATTGTATTCTTGAAGTTTATGATATTAATTTAGTTAAATTTTTATTGTTTATTAAAACTTAGAAATTCTGGCATTACTTTAAAAATTAACATTACTTTTTTCCTCCAATTAAATTTAAAATATCTGAATCCAAGTTGTTGAATGCAAAGAATTAAGCAACCAATCCATTTGTTTGTATATGTTATGGTGGAGCTTATTCATTATAGGACCTAATGATTTTGATATTAAATTACAGCTTTTCTTAAATGTTGTTTAAAAGTAAAATCAGTTTGATTTAGTAAAACAAAATGTATCTACCAACATTTTAAAAAGTGTTAAACATGTTTATTTTAATTATATATTTAGTAGAATTAAGTGAAAATTTTGATTGTTTCATTACGCAAATTATAAAAATGGAAACATTTCACCATGCATTTTTTCAACTATTCAAGTTTTCGTTTCGAATATAAAGACTCCTTACTGTTTAAAAAGTAAAAGTTAACACTTCTTTTGAAAACTCGATTTAAAAGGGTGCTGTCTCTTCATAAAATGATTTGAATCAATAATAAAGACCTGAAGAAAAATTATATTACCTATTAAGTATCAATTTCAGAGTAACGAATAATCAAATTATAGATTATGTATAATTATTTGATAAAATTAGATATTTTACGTCATTTAACTTATGAGAGGTATTAATTAAAATTTTTCGGATGCCAAAATTACCTGAAAGCAGTTTGAACATAGCCCAGAAATTAAAAGATGAATTTCTATATCATTTTGATATTTTTGCCCAATAACCCAACTTTACAATACTCAATCGTAGCAAATTTCCATCAATACTTGGCTTTATAACTTCAATAATGATTGCGTTGTTTGGACTCTATTTTTTTATGACAGAAGTGGTCTCTATGGTCTCTAAATCAAAACCTGCTATCTATCAAACAGAATTATCTATATCTGAAACTGAAGTATCATCATAAATAATAATAAGCCATTTATCCTTGAAAATGATAACTTCACCTTAGCCATATCAGTTGTAAATCGGTATTCTGAGCCATTAATAGGAATTGATAGATATTTTTAATTAAATATTAGTTAATGTGTGAGGTTAAGGACAAAAGATTAATTTTCAGGAAATGTGTCTGTGAATTTAAAGTAAGAATTACTGAGATAATAAGTTGTACACAAATTCCAATCGAGCCATGCAATATGTCTCACTTTACAACAGATCTATAGAAGGAGTACTTTTCTATTATTAGAATGGGAGGCATCTAATGCATTAATAGGAAATATCTAAAAGAGAATCCATTAGTAATTATAATTTAATTGTTAGATTCTGTAAGGGTAGATTTCATCAAACGCATTCAGATACATATTTATTTAGTTTAATGCTTGTCAAAATACAAGTTTATCGAAGATGTGTGCACCTCAAAAAGAAATTGAGAGTGTTTTGGAATCAGGTCATTACAATGTTTATAAAAGTGATTACCTTACCAAATTAGATCAACCAGGATAACCTTATTAAGAAATCATCACAAATGAATTTACAACTTTCTCTTTGAGCACTTCTAAGACTATTTCTTAAAAATATAGAATTTTATAAACATCTTCAGATGAAGGATTAATTTGGGAATCAATTTAGGATTAATCAAATATTTAATAAAGTGAATGGAGAGAGATATCTGAATTTTATAATAATCAATATATAGTTGTTCATTATATAAGATTAGATTACAAGTAAACAATTAACATTAGAACATATGTTAAATTATAAACCATTCTAGGCAAATTAGGTGGAATATTTTAGATATTCATCATGGTTGTAGCTATTGTATTAAGACCTATAATTGAAAATTTTATGAAATTAGAAATTGTGGATTCTCTTTTCAATTTTTCAGATTAAAATCATACCCCAGTTCAATAATCCTCTCATGCTATGATGATTCAAACTGATAGAGATACCAAACTTTAAATAGCTAAGCCTAATAATTAATTAAAATGGCAATCACCTATATAAAACACACAACATACTACATTAAGTTAATCCAGACTTGATCCTTGGTTGATAATATTTGGGTGTAATTAATCAAAGAAAAAATAATTTATAGTTGCAAAAAACAAAATTAACAAATATTTAGAAATTGTGAACATTCTGAGAAAATTATAAGATATTGAAATTCTTAAAAAGATTTTACTCTCTAAAGAGCAATAGATCATATTGAAAAAACACAGAAGATAAATTGACAAAAATGGTTTTTGCATAAAAAAAGAACCCTAGAATTATATATAAAACAACAATTAAATACACGAATTAGACAATTGTATGATATAGTAGAAAAGCAAGTCAGTCCTAGATCAACTTGGTATCAAGATACAAGAGTAAAAGCATTACAAAGATACTTTTAATTCATGTTATAAATTAAACGAAATTAAATCTCTAGATGATTCTGAAATCTAAGAGCCTGTAGCATAAACACCGAAAACATGAGAATTATTTATCAATATCAATAAAAAGATTATAGATCATTTTCTTATTTTTAATTTCAATTCTATTTTTAATCTAATTTTATTATTAAGAGTTTCTATGGTTGTATTATAATTGATTATGTGGAATATTTGATAGAATGGATAGAAAAAACCATTTTATTTTGGTTTAATAAATCAAAAGTAAACAAATATTGCTTGGCTGCTGGTGGAACTATTCTCGATATCCGAATTTTCAACATGCTATGATCTAACTAAGTAATATTAATTATAATTAATATTAATAGAAATTTAACAAAATTAAGAATCCATGATTGAAATTCAAAAAGAAAAGGAATTTTCTCTTTCATATTAGACTTCACAGATTAACGAAAAATTTAAATTAATAAATTCAATCAAACACTCACGAAAAAGCAATTCACTAATTTTTAATTCAACTTCAAGCATTTTAGTTGTTACAAGTAATGAAAACTTGATCCTATTTCATTTTAAATAAGGGCATATTAAGAAAATATCCTAAATAATAGGAAATTATTTTATTAATAATTGTCTATTATTCATGAATCTGTAAAATCAAATTATATCCTCAAACTCTAATTGCTAAATAAGATTCTAGTCATTATACTTATCAAATAACAATAAAAGATTATAACTTATAAAGATTAATGATGATGATTATCAAATAAACTGTATGTTAAACAATAGAGAAGAGAATCTGTTAATAATTGGAATGGATAATCAGATTAATTTTTTGGAAAAGAAAAACTAATGGAGATTTGTACAATCTATTGAAATTGATGGAAACATACGTGGTTTAACTCTAAATGAATCTCAGAATATGATTTTAGCCTGTGGAAGTTTTAATTATATATTAGTTATTAAAAAAGATATTAAAGATTGGAAATTGAGCAAATAATTTCATTTATTCGTGGAAGGAGCTAGAATTGTTTTTTATTAGGATAAAAAATTTGCATTTTAACCTTGGTGTTGGCACACTCTCGATATTTATGCCATAGATTCTAAAGATGAAATTTCACTTATTTAACAAGTGTAAATTAAAAATAGTACCTTTAAAACTTGTGCAGCCTATTCTCCCTTATAATTTATTGAAAATAAATCAATTTTGTTAAGTAAAAATTAAAATTGCTTAATAATATTAAAGTTAAGGAAGAACGGAGAGTTTGTAAATGAACAAACAATTGAATTTAATTTTCCTTTTCTGTATGGACATTTATCAAATGATGGAAATTATCTAGTAATTTGGGAAAGACATATAAAAAAAATTCAAATTTGGTAATATATATCAAATGATTAATGATATTTATTTATGATAAAATTTCAATTTTGTAGAAGCTCCCAAATTTTAACTCTGATCTATTAAAGAATCAGCGTTGAGATTCAACTATTTAATTTGATCATATAAAGTAAGTATCTTATAGTAACATCTTCTTAATAATCACAATTTTATAGAATTTTAGATAAAAATAGAATATTGGCAATTTGAAATTTCTTACAATCAAATTAGCGTTATTTTGAAACTCTATTTCTACAAATTTTAATCATATTTGTTATATTTTAGTACTGAAAACATTCAACCAAAATATTTCAAACTTATCATCAAAAAAATAATGTTTGAAAATACTATTAATAAACTGATTTTAGATATAAAATGATATATGTTTAGTTTTAAATCTATATATTGAGAATTTAGCAAGTTATTGCAATGGATATTTGGGAATTTATAATATAATATTATAAAATAATACCATCCAAATTTTGAAAGCAAAATATAAATTACCATAAATGATAATTAGAATCCATTTTGTAAAACAAGTTTGATTGATAATATTCATAAAATGAATTAATTTTGTTCTATTCCTGAACATGGAGTTAATGTAGAATTCATCTGTTTAAATCAATATTGTAGGGATTTCAGAATATTTTGCTTTAAATGTTTATAAAGTGAGAAGCACAACTCTCATATGAAGGACGTTCATAAATTAAAAGATTATGGGAGATTATTTGATAATAAAAGCAATACAATATTTGAGGACCTTGAAAGAAACATAGAATACGTGAACACCTTATTTAAATGGTTAAGAGATGAAATGTTCAATAATAATCATTTAAGCCAAGAAGAATTTGAAGATTTAAGTATTGAACAATTACATGATTATCTTTGTTCAAAATTACAAATGTAGAGTTAGAAACAATCTATTTTGGGAACCATTAATAAAAATGTAGACCATTTGATCTAAACATTAAATAGTTGTATAAGTGATTTAGAATTATCTTCTTTGGATAGTCCTGTAAAGAAGATAAAAGGAGAGTTAAGTACTATAAACTATGAACTAATCAATTCAACTGAGGAATAATAAATAAATTCAATAGCTTTTAATTTGGACTCTACTGTAATGGTTGCTGGTTATGAATCAAGCAAGATAAAAGTTTTTGATTTCATTGAAGGTGAATTGAAAATTAATTAAGAAATAAACCTCCATAAAAAGAGTATTTATTGTGTGTATCATATGAAAAAAACCAAAGAATTTATATCTGGCAGTTGTGACAAAACAATAATAGTATTTTAGTATAGTGATGATTAATAATGGCACTTAAAATAATAATTGGAGGAACACTAAGGAGGAGTGAATTGCTTAGTAGTGAATAGTGAAGAGGATACAATTATATCTGGTAGTGATGATACTCTTATTAAGATATGGATTAGAGAAAGTGATTATTGGACATGTCATCAAACACTTATTGGACATCAACATTACATCAGTTCTATCAGTTTGAATAAGACAGAGAACTAGATCATTTCATGTTCTAAACATCCTTAAATATTGATCCATTAACAAGAAACCAAGAGTAAGGTTTGGGTGTTGCTGTAGACTATTAAGGTAACGACTTGGGGAAGGAGACTATGTTTCATTACTGATTCTGTATTTACATTCTAACCGGAAAAAAAGGAATAATTGCATGTCTATGAATTGAATTCTAAAACTAATTTATTTTAGAAAACAAAAAACATATCAGTAGAAATTGGAACTTGTAAAATGAAGAGAAGAGGTTGCTTTTGGTTCTTCCCTTAATAATTTATTAGAGAAAAATCAATCCTGGTTAATAAAAATGAATGTTCAATCAATTTAATGCTCTTCAATTAAGATGGCCAATTTATTACAAAATAATCAATAGATTATTGCACATCTGGAGTCTTTGGAAGAATGACAGATGATGGTTAGTATTTAATAACGTGGGATGACATAACTAGAAGGCTCTAAATAAGATAATTGAAGTAATGAACTTGATCTTAATTCTTATTTATTTTTATTCATTACATTGTTAAAGTATAAGATTAACTTCATAATATTGTTTATTCATGTTTTATTTATCAAATTATTCCTGCCTTCAAATTTCTTCCAAATGGATCGGATTATACCAAAAGTTTGTATAATTTTCTTCAATTGTTTTTAATGCTATTTTATTTTAAATATAATTATATAATAAATATATATATTAGCTCTCAAAGGATGCTAATTTGTTAGATTGAGAATCATGATGAAAGCTAGATTTTAGGATGTTGCATAAAATAAGATTGCAAGCATCCTAGACCTTATTGTTAATATTGTATTACTTCATTACATTCCGATCATTTTCAATAATTAAAAAGTTTTAAGCAACTTAATGAATTGATGTTATAAAAAATGAAATCGTATGATTATTTAATGAATATTATCCAGCAGATAAAAACCTCAATAAATACTATTTATGAAATAGTAAATCCACTTTATGTTCATCCATTAGAGAATGTATAATAATTATCCTGTAGTTATCTTAATGAATAAATTATAAAACTAATGAAGATTGAAGTAGCAGAGGCAACAGCAGGTTTAATTGTAAATATCAAAGAATTGAATGACCGAATATAGAATATATGCTGCAAATTTCAAAATTTGAAGTCTATTCCTATTAAATAAACTAATTTTTCTGACCAATTATATCAGAATAAATAATAAGGTTCGTATTTCTCAATAGAATCATAATTGGAGAAATAAAACCAAGAAATGTCTTAAAATCTTACTATACTTTTTTCCTCTGACTACAAACCCATATAAATAGAACTAGAAAATAATTGCAAGAAAGCAATCAATTTATGTATTGGATGGAAAGTTGCTGTCTGCGAGCCAAAAATTCCAAAAAATAATTGCCCTATTACTTTTTAGTTTAAAATTATCAATGCAAGTGCTTGTGATATAGGAGTTTGTCATAGGAATAAAATTATTTCAGCCAATTACTCCCTTGATTTAGCAAAGGGTTCAGCTCAAGGGTATATCAATATTAATATAGTAGCATTTATTGTATCAACCAATAAGGATATGTTTACTCTAACCTAAATTAGAATATCAATAATAAAAAATAATCATTTTCATTTAAAAATAATGATATCATTTCAGTTGAAGTAAACTACTAAAAATAAAGAATATTATGGACAAATTAGATTTCAAAGGATCAATATGTAAATATTATTTTATTACAAAAGTCGATGTAATTCGATATTACAGAAGATTTATATCCATGCGTTGGAATAGGTTATGGAGAGATCATAACAATATTGAATGCCTGATTTATTATTAAGAAAAAGAGTTATTAATAAAATATCTCAACAAAAATTGTTTTATGATCATCGTGTTCAATGAAATATTTAAGGTTGATTCTATTTAAATACAAATTTATCTGATCAATACAAATGTTGATTTTAGTATAAAAATATCAGATTCAATTAATAATTAATAATTATTTTAGTATGAGTACATTAATTAACTCGACAATGATAGAAAATGATTTTGATCTGTAATGTTCAAAAAAACACAAGTTGCCAATCCAAATGGTTGTCTTAGACTCAAAATTAACCAATAATGAGAGACTACTTTGTTCCGATTGTTTAGAAAATTTTGAATCCAATGGCAAAATGGTTGGTTTAACTAAAGTTCTATAAATAATTGATGATAAATACAGTAAATTAATATAACAAAATCTAAATTTAACTTCAAGCACCATTGAATAAATTGAAATGATTTAAGGTAGTTTGTTTGAAATCAAATCAAATTTTAATTAAACTATCGATCAATTGATTGGAAACTCAGAAGAATGGATTAAATTTCTTTATTAAGAAGGACAAAAAACCTACACTTATAGTTTTTTTGAAGAATTAGAGCTACTTATTTAAAATTAATAAAGAGAGGATTTAAATCAATAAATTCTAAAAGAAATTTAATATATTAACCTATCTTGGATTACTAAAATTATTCATAAGGTTTAATAGTTCAATTAGAATTCTAAAACTTAAATCAAAAATCTAAGATAATAAATAATAAGTCTTGTAACAAATTATCAAACTAAAGAAATAAAATAGAATAAATAAGATGGACCTATCAATCTTAAATTAATCAATAATACATCTTATTAGTCTGATGATTGCTTTGCAATTTCATTTAATAACATTGGATCTCTTATGATTTCTGGATGTGGGAAATTTATAAAATTATGGGAGTTTTAAAATGGTAATACAAATGAAGTTTTGAAATTGAAAGGACATAATGATACAATAAGATGTCTTTCTTTCACTCATTCAAATAATAGTTTCATTTCTGGTTCTGGGGATTGCTCAATTAGATGTTGGAAGTAACTCAATTTTAAGTCTTGGAAATCTTCAGAACCATATAATGATCATACTGATTAAATTGAGTGTATACTCTTGAGTAAAGATGACACTTAATTGATTTCAAGTAGTCAAGACAAATCAATTAAAATTTGGAGCTTTGATATTAACAAAAATGAAATGAAATTACAATAAACATTAAATGAAAGCAAACACTGTCTAAATAGCATATCATTGAATTTTAGTGAAACTATTTTGGTTTCATGTGGAGATTAAAACGAAATTATTGTATGGGGAAAGACCAAATTAAATTATTGGGAGTATTTAAATACTATTACACAATCATATAATGAATATGGTACTAAAGTGTGTTTCTTAAAAGATGATTAATTTATTTGGATAAGCGGTGATATATTAAGCGGAAATTAAGCAAGAATATTTCAATTTTAAGGTGGCAAATTTATAGAAAATACATCATAGACTATAGAATTAGAGAATGATAATGAATGCTATGATTTAAATTTGTTTCCAATAGTACACAATAAAGAATAAAACATTATACTAATTCGACATAAATTTAATATCTATCTGCTTAGGGAATAAAATGATGGTTCGTATAAAATAGTTTAGAAGGTTAAATAACTTAGCAATTCGACTTAGGGGTCTATGACAAAAGATGCTAAATATTTAACTTTTTGGGATTCCAATTAAAAAATCTATACGACTTATGAAATAGAATCGAAATGATCTTGTATCTTAATTATAGATTTTATGTAAATGAATCAATATCTATTATATTTGATTATTGCTAATTATGTTGAGTAAATAAAAATAAATGATATATAAATTATATCAATTTTCTTAGCTCTTGTTTTCCTTTAAATTTCGAATCTTTCGGTTGGATTAGTTTTTTGGACTATTTTCATTTTGTTTCTCTATTTAATTCGATTTCTTATTAACCTTTTTTTTGCCTTCTTATTCAATTTGCATTCCATCTTAGACATTCTTCTTTTTCACTTATTTCTTTTTTTGGTCTTTCGGAAGTTTTTCTGCTTAATTAATAAGCTTGTATTCTATATTTACCATTTCATCATAAGCTTCTAAAAATTTATTTAAATCTTCAATCCACATTGCAGCGATTTCTTTGTTGAATAATTTATCTTTAGCCTGTAGTTTAGAATTTAGTTCATCTTCTAATTTTACTACCTTCTCATTGGTCAAAGAAAATAGGGGCATTGATAGAAGATAGTTATAATCACTTATATCAAGAGTTGTTTTATTGTTTTATTGATTTTCAGTATTTTCTGGTTTTTTCTTACTTACTTATTCATCATCAGAGGCTTCCGATGTATCATTATCATCGACATTCTTTTTAGGATTTTTAGAATCCCCAAATGCTTACATTTTAGTGGAATTTACAATTATTAATTAAGAGAATCGTGTAAATTAATATTTATCTAACTATTAAACTAAGTCTGCCTTTTTTACATTCTTCAAACGAATTTCTTCAGATATAACCATTTTAATGAATCTAGATTTATTGTGTAACAATTAAACTTCTCTGTCTAGTTTTGAAAGAAGATAATCCTTTCGTTTCTAATAAAATTGTAATCTGACCTAATAGAATTCTTCCAATATTTCTGCTATTGATTCAAATTTCTTAATTTTATTTTAGCCGTCAAATAATACCATATTGTTATTAGAGAAGGGAGTTACTAATTTGAAGTATTCATAAGGATTCTTTAATTGACTTACATATCCCTCTGTCATTTATATTTCAAAATGGATTTTATATTTAGTATGATACTCTTTCAAATCTACAATTGGATTACCTTCTTAAGAAATTTCTTTATCCAACCATTCTTTATAATTTTTAGTCCATTTTTTAATTGGTAATTCTTTGATAGTCACAACGTCAGTCTCCTCATTGCACTCTATTATTCCTTTAACAAGACTGTTTCCATTTGGTTAAGTTTCTATAATACCATCAAAATTTCTGTAAAAAGGAGTAAGATTATCAAACTATTCTCCATTAAGTCTTTTTTTAATCTATTCAACAAGTTCAACGGGATTATAATTTTAAATAGAAGTTGACCAACCAGTGCCAATACCCTCAGCTCCATTGACTAGACTCATTGGAATTATTGGAACATAGTATTCAGGTTCAACCATTTCTCCATCATCCTCAATATATTTTACAACGTGATCATCTTATTCTGGGAATATATATCTTGTAATTTTATTTAGTACGGTTGAAATGTACCTTGCGGAAGCATGATCCTTTCCTCCCATAGCTCTGCTGCCAAATTAACCTCTTGGTAGTAAAAGATTGATATTATTTGATCCAACAAAATTTTACGCCATACCTATAATTGTAGTTACCAAAGAAATATCACCATGATGATATGCAGAGTGTTCTGCAATATATCCTCCCAATTAAACAACTTTAATTTCTTGCTTTAGATTTCTTTTGAAACACGCAAACAAAACCTTTCGTTAGCCAGGTTTTAGACCATCCATCAGTGAAGGAATAGATCTAATATTATCAGCCATTGAAAAATGAATAAGTTCTTTATGTATAAAATCCTAATATCCTAGCTCTTTTTGAGTGTGATCAACATATAAATCATGATTATATTGTGCCAGCCATTACTTTCTATCATTCGCTTTCTTCTTATTAAAACATAAATCAATCGATTAATCATCTTCCTCATTATCGTATCTAAATTAAATTGTATGGCTAATCAAATTTTTGAAGTATTCCTAGGCTTCTAAATCATCAGATGTACCTAACCCTTTGTAATACTTAATCTTCCAACTCTTAATATCTTGAATTTAAGCAAACTTATTAAAATCTTAAACAGTGAAGAAAGGAATTGTTTGATTTCCTTTAGTTGCTTTGATTAAAGGAGTTACAAATTCCTTTAGAAACCCTCTGTATTTTAATAGTGAAGGCCAAAAATGATGTATAAAGTTAATGATTAATCCTTTGATGTGTGAACCGTCAATATCTTAATCCGTCATTATCATGACTGAACCATATCTTAAAGATTTTAAATCACCATATTCTCTATCTTTCTGTAATCCAATAATTTTAATCAAATTTTAGATTTCTTCATTATCCATGATTTGTTTGACTGATGCTTCTCTCACATTTAATAATTTACCCTTTAAAGGAAATACTCCATATCTATCTCTTCCAACAATATCTATCCCAGCCATAGCCAAAGCTTTTGCTGAATCACCTTCTGTTAATATCAAAGTACAGAATTCTGAGTTCTTTTTTCCAGCATCATTAGCATCATCTAATTTTTCAATTCCATGTAATTTACTTGTCTTAGTGCCTTTTAATTATTTATTTAATTTAGCATCTGCTTTTGCCTTTGCTTATTGGAATATAGTTTCTATAATATCTGTCTTTATAAGAGCTTTGGAGAATTTCTCCGTAACCTTAAATTTCTCATCATCAGTACCACCAAAGTCAGTAACCCGTGTTGTTAAATTCTCTTTTGTTTAAGAATCAAATGTTGGATTATTAATTAAACAATTTACAAATATCCATAAAGATTATTTGATTTAATACTTTTGAACTTCTAAATGCTTATATTTCTTATTGCTTTTCATTTCATTTTGAATTTCTTAAATTAGTTTATCAGTCACATGAGTCACGTGAGTTCCACCCTTTGAAGTGAAAATTGAATTGACAAATGATACATGTTGAAATTGGGTGGCAGAATAACTAACAACTACCTCCCATCTTGGAGTTGTCATCTCCTTATCATAAATTTTTATTGAATTATTAGGCAAATACAAATCTACATATTTCTGAAATGAATTGATAGGTATTTTCTCATCATTTAAATATACATTTATCCTATTTCCATATATTCCTGCCATATCATACACTCTTCTTACTAATAAAGCTTAAGTATCCTCTTCAATTTCATTCATCCCAAATCTTTTAAAATCTGGCTTATAAGTTATTTATACAAATGGATCTTTTTTCATCGATTTGATTATTGGTATCTACTTGTTACTCATATTATTGCTCCACACCTATTTTAAATAATTGCTTCCATCACAAACTTCAACTGAAAATTCACTTGAGTAAACATTAGTCAATTTTGCACCATAACCATTCCTTCCTCCAACTACTCTTTTCTCTGTGTCATCGAAGTTGCTTCCCGTCAAAAATACTCCAAATATCAATTCAGGAACATAAAGTTGATACTCCTTGTGTATCTCAACAGGTATTGGTTAACCATCATTTTTTACAGAAATTTAGTTTCCAATTTCTACTCTTAATTAAGTCATTTTGTAAGTTTAGTTATTTCTTTGAATATTATCAGCAGCATTGACTAAAATTTCGTCGAATATCTTGAAAAATGCAGGTACGTACTCGATTTCCTTTTGAATCATTTTCCCATTTTTCACAATCCACATAAGTTCGTTCATTTTTTGAACACTGCCAATATATGTGTCAGGTCTATTTAAGATATGTTCAATATGGCTCATTTTTTTATATTGCTCTTCTATCGTTTTGGGGCGCATTCACTCTAAAATTAATAAAAAATAAATTTGATTTACTAAAAATTCTAGTTTAATTATGTTAATTAAAAGTAGTATTAATTATAAAAATGTGAACTAAAAATCTAAATTAATTCTAATTGTCTCATATTAAATGTTTTTGTGATACATCTTACAATCTGTTTAAACTAATATTCATGAAAATATTCCACCTTCAATTTACTATTGACCATATAATGTAAAAATGTAGAGCAATTCTATTATTTATATCTATTAATAATTATGGATTCTTTCTATATTGATTAAAATAAGAGTAAATATATTAATTTATATAATTATTAAAAAATTATTTATTATAATTAATTAAAAAAATAATAATAATTATTATATTTCAAAAAAAATGTTGAGTTTTTAGAAACAATCTAATTCTTAGTAGTTTTTACTTTCAAGTTAAGTTTTTATGAATCATCATATGTAAAATAACTGATTTATTTAATAATAGGTATAATTAATGATACATGCAACTATTAATAATTATAAGAGGTTTAGTTAAATAATTTCAATTTTTAATAATTAATAGATTAATTACTAATAAATGTATTCTAAATTAATATTTAGGGTGTTTTGAAATAGACATTAGTTGATAGACATATAAACCTGATATAGATCTGAATAGAAATTATATTTTTTTTCATTTAAACCATTTTATTTTTATATTATTGATACTATTAATCATCTGTTTGTCCTTCTTATATTTGATACCTTTTGAGCGACAAGAACAATAATTAAAGAAAAGAGATAGGATTTAGTATGAATTTAAGTATCATAATTTAAGTATTTTCATTTTCTATATATATAAGATAAATATAAAATAACATATAAAGAATCGTAATTTCAATAATTAAAATAAATTATTTAATCATGATTGAAAAAAAATTGTAAATGAATTACAAAATGTTCTTTTTAAGGCGAATCTGAGTGTTATAAATTATTAATGAATGAATATGAATAATTATATACAATAATAGTACCTTTAGTGAATTTGACCCATTAAGCTACGCTTTCAGAATATTTTGTGGCACTTTGATTGGTAATGAAGAAGAAGAATGTCTATTCAATATAATTATTGTATTTGAAGGTTTTACAAATTATTCATTTACATATTCATACTCGCCACCTCCTTAATCTTCATGAGTTTGCTGTGTAATACTTTCAAGATACTCTCTAATTTTCTGGCTGGGTCAAATGAAGTCTACAAAATAATAATTTTTTGCTTAAACCATTTGTATAAATAATTTTTCTTGTATATATATAGTCATGATTACATATACTTAATAAAGTTCTATGATTTCTGCAAACATGATATGTTCCTGAAAACTCCTAAGGTAATCTCTATTGTAAATTCTAGAATAAATAAAATTACTTCTAATACATTATTTACTAAAATTTCCTTAGTCAATGTGATATGCTCTATATTTTACTATAATTTAAGTCTATTTTTAGTTGGATTTTTTTTTTTTCAAATCTGTTAATATAAAACGTGTTTCTTCTCCTTCTCTGACATCAAGAATCTTCTTCTTCATATTGTAAGATTCCTAAATGGACAATCATCAATAAAATCTTCATTTTATCAATCTATTCCTCAATTATGTTATTTATTGATTACTTCTTCCGAGAAATATTTGTAATCACA